AGGTGTTTGTCTTACCCGTTCTTGAAAACCTCCAGTGATGGGGATTCCATAACCCCCGGTAGAAGACTATTCCAGAACTTAACTACCCTCATTAGAAATTTAACATAAATCTCCCTATTAAGATTAAGCCTATTACTTCTTGTCTAACCTGTGATGCTCAGTGGTACCCCAGTACATCAGGTGGCACCCTGGAGTGGGGGGCAAACTCATCACAGGTGCCATTACCAATTCACCTCATTCCCTTTCGGCCTATCATCAGCCCCCATGGTTTTCACACAGCGCCGGAGGAGTTGGGGGAAGAGGATTCTCGGGCTGGCCCTGCACGCCGGGGGTGGAGAGAGGAGATGCCCTAGGCTTTGGCGCAATAGACAGGGAAACTGAGGCACACACAGTATTAATGCAAAACAGTAAGACTCACATACAACATAACAAGGGGGAAAAACCCACTATGTCACACTGGCCACCATCCCATTAGCCACGCGCCTGCAGATGAACCCGCACTGAAGTCCAGTGCATGAGGCTGATGCCGGTGCCTCCTCGGGGGAGGAGTGGATTCGCTCCAGGACTGTGACGAGGAATCCTCCCTTGAAGACCAGGTCCATCGCTACCATCTGGTGGCTGCGGTTGCAGGCCGGGAAGTGGTGTTGGGTCGGAAACTGGCACATGGGGCTGGTGTCTGCTGGTGCAGTGCCAGGGATGTACGACACAGCGCTGGGGACTGCTGCTGTGAACCCGGTGATTGGGAGGCTAGCGATCAATGCTACAATGGCAGGGATCCATGCTGAGGAGCCGGCAACTGTTAATGCGACGGGGACCTGCGGTAGGTTGGAGACTACTGGGGTGGGCCCATGAAGGGTTTCTCTCTTGAGGGGGCCTCCCTCGATGACTCCAAGGGAGCTGGTTGAGGTTCTCAAGGTGGCACCTGAAGTGACATTGAGTCTCTTGCCACCTGAAAAGCCTCTGGAGCTAAGGTAGCTCAAAGGTGGGTGCCCCGACCGCTGCCAGGAGTCGGTGGTGGGTCCTGGACAGGGCTGGGTGCCCTAGGTGCCCTCGCCGACCACCGCTCTGGGAGGATGAGTGGCCCAGCACGGGTCTCACCTCATTGACCATCTTCTGCCTATCCCTCTGCAGCACCACGGACCGCCCCGTCAGCACGTTGTTTCTTATGCCTCTTCCTCGGCATGGGGGATGGTGAGCAGTGCCGGGAAGGGCCCAGTGCCAGGAGTGTTCTGCACCAAGGTCAACATACTTAGCGCCAAATTGGATTGGCATGGCTCTGAGGCCAGTCTAAATGCTGCTTCCATTAACAGGCCCTTCAAACGAGTGTCCCTGTCCTTAAGAATGTGTGGCCTGAAGCCCTTGCAAATTCTGTTCTTGTCCTTGATGTGAGCTTCCCCAAGGCACTTCAAGCAGTTCGTATGTGGCTCACTCACTGGCCTGGGCTTATGGCAGGCAGCACGTAGTTTGAAACCTAGGGACTGGGGCATACCCCAAATGGGTCACCTATCTATCTAACACTCAACTATTTACAACAAGAATGTCCAAGGAAAGTCAGAAAAAAACACTGGGGAGCTTGCAATCGCAAGAGACGTTCCAGCAACTGTCATGGGCTGCAAGAAGGAACTGAGAGGGTGCAGGGCCAGGGGCATGCTGAGCGTGGGGCTCCAGGGGGCACTAGGGCCACTAAGGGAAAAATCTCCAGTGACTGTGCACATGAGTGCGCACACACCTAACATCAACATGAGCAAGCACTCAAAGAAGTGTTATCAGGTTGCCCCCTCAGACTTCTTTTTTCAAAACTAAACATGCCCAGTTTTCTTTTTAAACTTTTCCTCGTCAATCTGGTTGTCAAAACCTTCTACAATTTTTGTTGCTCTCCTCTGTCCACATCTTTCCTAAAAAGTGTGGCGCCCAGAACTGGACACAGTACTCCAGCTGAAGCCTCATCAGTGCCAAGCATAGCAGAAGAATTACCTTCTATGTCTTTAGCTTATTTGGTTTATTTTATTTGTGCTAATAAATATACAGCTTCATAATTTTACTTAGTCCTTTAACAAGATTTTAAACAGAAAAGATACATTTCATGACCTCAAACAGCTTTGGATACAATTAAATCCATTGTAGTTGCACGAGATTATGCAAAAATCTGGATTTTTTCCCCCTCAGAGAATCCTGCAAGAATCTATCAGGTATATGAGAAATTTAAACTACTTCCACCATTGTAATACACTTATCAAAGTTGAATATAGTCTGCCATCATGGTGTCCAATTCCCAGTGTATTTAAATGCACTTGGAGCTCCTTACAATCTTCTATAGTTTGTATTTATCTAAACAAGTGTCCTTAGCAAACTTCTCTAATTTTCTTTTTGCTCCTCCAAACCAATAGCAAATAAATTGACCAGAGAGATCAGAAGCCTGCTCTAAATTATTCCTACCTTTATATCAGGTTGCCAATAACATGATTTTTTTTAAGCATAGCTCTCAGACAAAATAAAATCCATTCTCTAACAAGAGCAGAAAACCACTAGATTTTTTTCAGGCAACAACTGTGTTTAAAAATGGTTCTGATTCCGTTGTGGGAAGACTGAAAATAATACTTAACTGGGTACATGATAATACCTGCTGAACATCAATTTCTTGAAGCACATAAACTTTACTTTCATGCATTCTCATGTATCCTCAGCTGACCAGCTGTTCAGACTAACACTGTCAAAAATGGTCTTAAATTGAAAGCAATCAAGATCAAACTTATTTAGTCTAACAGCATCCACTTTCCAGCATCTAGTCACTATTCTATCAAGTGCAATTTAGTAGGACTCCAATAGTTTGTTCATCCCAATGTCTTTTTCAGTTTGTTATACTGCTTACTTTACAATTTTTATAAGCCCACTCCACCACTGATACATCCAAGAATTAAGAATGGTCATTATTGGAGAAAGTTGAGTAGTGATCAATCTGTCTAGGGTTTTATATCACATCCTCACAATAGTATCAGAGCCCCTACCATTTTACCATCCATTATGTCTCCTTTGTTCATGAGTCTATTACCAGTCAGCAGTTAGGCACACATGGCCCCCACTCTGAAGAGTTTACAATTCAAGAAGACCTAAACCTATATAATACTCATCCCTTGCAAAAATTCTGAGCAAAACACTTTAAGCAATGCATTCTGAAGTTAAAGAATTAACTAAATGTACATGTTCAGAGTATTTGTCCTTCATTTTAGTGACTCACAGCTAGAATGAAGGGTTAGATTATGTTCAGTCTTTTATTAATAATAATAAATGATAATACATTTTATTTATAGATCACCTTCCATCCAAAGACCTTCAAGCACTTTACAAAATGCAACCCTTCTTCCAGGTGTCTTTACCAGGAATTAGGGCCAGCTTCAGATGATGTCTAGGACAGTGTTTCTGAAATGTGGCCACCAGGGGCTTTTCTTGCAGCCACAGCCTCCTGGGTTGTGAAGGGGGGGGGGGGCAAAGTAGAGCCCCCTCCCCCTCTCTGTTGCTCCTGGATGCAGGGGTTGGGCCCTGACCCCCTCTGGAGACACCTGGGGCACAACACTGGAGGAGCAGGCAGCCAGTGAGTTCCCCACCTTCCCAAGGGTGGTGGGACTTAGGCTTTGGGCTTCAGCCCTGCGGTGGGGGGCACAACAGGCCCTGGCCACAGGGCTTCGGACTCCATCCCTGGATCCCATCCTCCAGCTGTGGGCTCTGGCTGCAGGGCTTTGGGCTCCAGCCCATCACCCCCATCTTTCCTGGCCCCCCACTGCTTCCCCCATCCCTCCATCCAGGGCTTAATTTGTCCCCAGGCTTGCCAGGGCTGAGTAAGTCTGCCGTGAAAAGCGATATTAACAAACATACAAGTATCACTTTTCACGGCAGACTTACTAGCTAGCAATAAATAAATTACAATAATTTTGATGTGTGTATGAGATTATGTGTGTATGTGCATATTTATTTGGTTTTCCTAAAGCTAATCAAGTATTTTAGGAAAAAGTGTGAGAGTGGCCACGAGCAAGAGTTGGTGGCCGCACTCTGAAGCCATCAAAAAGTTTGTCCTCAGAACCCCTGGTCTAGGGCTTCTATTTAAAGGAAATAAAATAGTTGGCTCAAGCCCACACTTAAAACCTCCTGGTCACACCTTTACAGTTATTTCCTCTCCACTCCTAAGCACTCAAGAGTCCTTGTGAATGTAAAGCCACTAACACTTTTAGTTGGGAAAACAACTGTTTACATAATAGAATTAAATTAACAAAAGCTAAACTGTATTATCAGTCTAGCCAATCCCACAGATCCAGTTATCAACTACCACGGTTGTTGTGGCCCTGAACTATTATTCACAGAACTATCCACACCCACCTGAAACCTCACTTAAATTCAAGTAGACTCAGTGATGGTGAAGTGGGTTACACTGCAAATATTTTAAAACTATTACATTAGAAGAAAAAATGGTTCCTCCTGACTTCTCTCTAGTTTCATTGCACAGTTAAAAATATGGTGATAAAAACATTGATTATCCCTTTTAAATCGGACTAGATTATCCCAATTGTCCTTTCTGGGCTGAAAATCTATACAAATTTTGAGCAGCCTCTTACTCACACTGTGATTTTGGCTCACACACATAGCAAACCCACCACTTTCTCCTTCTGCATAATATTAGCTTGCCCCATTAAAGCAGGGGGCTGAGCTCCGGGGCAGACCAGCCTATTCTGCAATAAGAAATGTACAAGGATCCTACTTTCAGACACTGGGCAGTTAGTACTGACAGGCCCAAAGCCAGCTCATCCATCCTGTGCTTGTGTGTGGAGTGGCCTCTGCAGAGAGCGCCCACCGCCGAGGCTACCGACTCCGCAGAGACCCAAGCTGCTGCCTAGAAGGCGGCGAGGGACAGACTCTGAGCCACACGGACAGGCCCGGTCCCTAGCGGAAGCAGCTGCCTCTACTGCAGGGTCTGACAGGGCTCTGCGGCCGCCGCGCGCTGCTCAACCTACCTCCTGCTGCTGTTCGCTGAGGCGGGGCCGTCTGGGCGCAGCTCGGGATCGGGGGGCCGAGCCCGGCTGCCGGCACCGCCGGGAAGGAAACACCTTGTATGGGCCTAGGAAGCGCCATATTAGGAGCGGAGGAAGGGCCATATATGGCAGGGCAGTTCCTGCTGGAGCGTAGGGTGCCGTTTCTGTTCAGCCTTGGCCGGGCGTCGGGCCCTGGGCCAGATGGCGGGGATTACTGCCGCTGGCGGGGCTGGCGCACCGAGCAGCTACCCCGGGTTGGCGAAGGAAACGCCGGGCCCCTCCGCCGGACACGGGGCGCTGAATGGGGCCCGAGCCGCAGAACGACTCCGGCCTAAGCCGCACTTCAGCCGGAGCCCGCCCGGGCCGGATGTGGGCTGTGAAGCGGCTCCTTCCTCCCTCCGCGCGCGGGGGTGGGGGCAGGCCGCGGCCAGAGCCCGGGGTTGTTCGCGCCGTGCCGCGCCGCTCGCGCACGTCAGGGCCTGGATCCCCCTCCCCCTCCCGGACAGCAAGAGTTGATGGGATGGGGATGGGGATGGCGCAAGGTTTTTCTTGTCATTCGATGGCCAGATTTGAAGTTTGGCTTTCACTGATAAACATTTGCGTGTAATGCAGCCGACCATATCTCTGTGGGTGTCTAGAACATCTGAGCCCTACATCAGGCCTATGCTGACTTTTAGCTCCTTCCTTCTGTTCCCATCTCATTCCTCTGGGCTCACTGCTGGGTTTGTTTGTACTTCTCAAATAAAGCTATTTTATTTTTAAACAGGTGACAGTTTATAGCTCGGCATCTTCAGATAACCTGGGAATTCCACTGGAGACAATCTTTTGAGCCAGTGATTGGGTTCATATTGTTCCAACATGGTTGCAAGAGCAGGATTTTCCTCCTTTAGAATTAGGATGGGAGAAGATTCAAAACTCTTAACCTAGCTGATCCAGACAGAAAACCACAGACAACATACAAGCAAGGAATATGGTACCTATTGGGGTTCAAGAAGTGGGCTGGCATAAACCCTTCATGAGGCTGTGAGCACGGGCGCCCACTGCTAAAGGATCCCCCCTCCCCCCCCCCAGCCTAAGGGGAGGATCCACAGGGCCTGAAACGCAAATGATTACGGGGGACAACTAATATAAAAACAGGGACAGGAGTGCGGTCAAAGGGTCAAAAGAAGGGAACCTGACAGGGACACCGAGCAGAGAACCCCGGACAGCGCCCACTGCTCCTCAAAGGTGTCAAGGGAGCCAGTGGACACCGCCCAGAGGAACTCTGCCCGGATACGTGAACGGACAGAGGACCGGAAACAGGCCCCACAGTCACAGGAGCCTCCATCGGCCAACCTCCTCTCCCTGGTTTGATAGATGGCCTGTTTAGCCAGGGCCAAGAGGAAGTTGACCAGGAGGTCCCGTGACTTAGTGGGGCCACAGATAGGGAGTGCATAAATGAGAAGGTGAGGGGAAAAGTACAACCAAAAATGCAACATAATATTGGTGAGGAGCCGGTGTAGGGGCTGCAACCTGGCGCACTCCAAGTAAATGTGAGCCAGGGTCTCCCTCACGCTGCAGAAAGGACAGGTGGCTGGGACAGGGGTAAACCGCGCCAAGTACACGCCCGTGCTCACAGCCTCATGAAGGAGCCACCAGCTGATATCCCCGGTGGGCCTCGGGACCAGGGTGGAATATAGGCTGGCCCACCGGGGCTTCTCACCCTCAACAGGTGGTAGGAGGTCCCGCCACTTTGTATCAGGGCAGGACATGAGGGTGAGGAAGTGAAGGGTGTGGAGCACGAGCATGTATAGATGTTTCCTTGGTGCGGTTCGGAAACGAACCGGCTGCAAGTCGTGCAGCCAGCTCACGGAGAAGGGGCGGGGGGGCCGGTTGGGTCCACGGGGCAGGGGCCCAGTGAAAAGGTCCGGAGGGCCAGGGCAAGGACTATGGTAGCCATGAAACCTCCCCTCATATACTGAATGACATATCCAGGCCTTTTAGCTTTACACCTCCAGACAGGAGAAGTGCTTTGGGTAAAGCAAGTGGAATACCCATCACCTGTGGTCAGATTGGGAGGTATAAGAGATACATCCATGTCTCACACCATTGATTAGACTGGGTCCTATAGATGGTTTCCTTGGCCACCACTTAGGGTTAAGGGTTGTGAAAACTGGGGAGGAGAGTGGAGGTAAATAATATTTTCCCCTAGTTCATGCGCTGCCAACACCAGGAGTGCTCCCACAGTGACTCATTGAAAGGAAATGCTTCTGTGATCATCTGTGGGTAGCCTTGGCTGTGGGTTTAAGAAGTAAATTCACCATGGGAAGGAATTAGTTCTTTGATCTTTAGCCATCAGTACAACAGACCAAACTGCAGCTGCCTCACAGGCCTCAGTTTGTCTATCAGAGAATCCCAGAAAATACAACTCATTTCCTGAAAAGGAGGAGTCAGGGAGGTTTTAGAGGATTGTTTACCAAAACAGCCAATCTGTAAGATCCACTATATAATATAATAATTAATGGAGATATCCCATCTCCTAGCACTGTAAGGGACCTTGAAAGGTCATCAAGTCCAGCCCCCTGCCTTCACTAGCAGGACCAAGTACTGATTTTCCCCAGATCCCCAAGTGGCCCCGTCAAGGATTAAACTCACAACCCTGGGTTTAGCAGGCCAATGCTCAAACCACTGAGCTATCCCTCCCCTCTGAGGAAGAGAGATTTGTGACCAGGACAGCTAGAATTAACCCTCACCCCCTGGATGCTGGAACAGAGACAAACACTCTGACAAAAAAAATAAAAAAAATAGGATTTTACTGAGGTGAGCTCTGACGCTACAGATTGTTCTAAATCTTAAAACTAATGATACCCTAGATTAAAGCTGCATACTAGCAAATTATAGGTGATAACTATTTTAAGGGGCAAAACATCACCTGATCTGGTGTCATAAAGAGACTGATTAATTCTGAAAATGAAAGAGGATCTATGATCGGTGTAGCAATGTTACCCTGGAAACAGGCAAAAGAGTAAATTTACACTTTATCACAATGGTCTAGAATACTAGATGAGTGCTGAGGATCAGTTTTAAGTCCTCCAGAGCAAGAGCTGAGTAAGTAGCCCAAACAAGATTCCTTCAAAGAGTGAACAGAGCTGACTTTGAAGCTGTACTTGTTTTCATTTACACTTGGTGAGAAGGTGTAGAGTTCACCACAGCCATTCATACCTTTGTCACTTCCAGAATGGATGACTCATCTCCAATACATTCTACATGGGGGCTATGCTTTCAACTGAGTCTTAGTCCATGGTATTTACATCCAATCTTCTTTAGCACCTCACTTTTCCTGAGAAGGTTGAACTACAGTGTGCTGGGGGAAGTCACCCCTATGTTACACCAATCTACTGATGACCACACATAGCTTCAGCTGGAGTAAAGCAGCATTGAGCTACACCCATTTACATCAGCTGAGGGTCTGGGTACTTATTTTAACTTTTTTTCTACCTGTCTTGAGTTCTTGCAATGCATAGTTCTATACATAACAAAAATAATCTCTGAGCCTACTTCTAGAAGACCTATCCTGTTTGAGATCTTTTCATACAGTCATAATGATTAATAACTAGTGGCAGAAGTATTCAATCACACCAGTTCTTTAGTTATATTAATTTCTATGGCAGCAGTCACTATGATAAGAATACCTCATTGCTCTTCACTGAAGTCTCTCCACATTGTCTTTCTGCACTGAGGTGACCAGAATGGAATGCTCTGTTTTATATTTGCTTTCATCAAACCCAGATAGGGAGGGATCTTCCTTCTGAAAAATTGGCATTTATAGTATATCTTGGTACAAACATCTAGCTAAATTGCTGCTATTAGCAGTAGGCTTCCATCAGTTGACTCTGATTTAAATTATTCCCACCCCCACATATATTCAAAATGGATTTTCCACACTATATATAATTTTATTACTTTCCCATTTTTCTAATCTGCCCAGCTCCTTTTGTATGATTTCCCTCTTCTCACTCGTATTCTGTGCCCCTCCCCATTCACTACTAGCTATAAATCCAAGCAATATGCTGTTTTTTCACTCCCCCCCCACCCCCGAAGTCAAGCAATAAGATTCTCTTCTATATTTACCCTCTGGACAAAACAGAATTAGCCAAATGACCCTTCCATCCAAGTGAGCAGCCAGGCTCAAGGCTTATATATATATATTTTGACAAATGGTGGGTAGTACACATAACTTATGATATATGCTCTGTATTCCTCTCTTAAATAGTAAGAGGGATGGATCATCAGAATGTTCTACCTCTTCCTTACTAAGAGGATGAGAGTTAAAGATCTAACACCAATTACTCCCAATTACTTAAATGAGGTTGCCACAGCTCTTGAGACATCTCACCTTCTCACTGCAGACACACCTAGCTCAGTTCCATGGAAGTTACAACCAATCTATTGAGGGAAAAAAAGAGATCTTTAACTGAGGGGAAGGAGTCAAGGATACTGGTAAAAGCATGTTTCCCACACACACAAGCCTTAACGAAAAAAATGCACTGTTTTGATATTTTATTTACTTTTTCCGAAGGGTATTGTACACCAAGTATCCCATTGGCAGTAAAGCGCATTCAATGTGTTTATAAGCTAAACAGTCACTTTTGTTTAAACAAATACAATTACAGAGTAAAAATAAACCACAAAATAATGAACTGCATGTTCATAACATACAAAATTGCTGCCTACTTAGTAGGTAAACTACAACATTCCAACTCCTGAATATATATTTATAAATGTACATTTCAGTAACAAAAATAGAATTTGAGAGTTTTTTGCGTACATTCTGTCCTCTGGCTCCTTCTCAATCTCCCCCCCCCCCCCCACGTCTCCCTTACATTCTTTGAATAAAATCCCTTTCACCTTAAGGCTAGATGCAAAGCATCCATTCACACAAATGCATGACGTCAGCAAGGCTTCACAAAAAGGCACCAAGACATGTAACTTTAAAAACAAACTTTTGCCATATGAGTGTCTCATCAGGTGATATTTACATAACATCACTCTTACATGCTTGAATACATAGTAAGTGCTGTTCTCAAATAAGTTTAAAACTCATTACAGCGTAGTCACTAAAATAGAATTACCATTTACAAAATATGGGCCTGCTAACTCCAAATAATACAATATGAATACGAGAAGAATTTTCACATCATCAATAGTACCCAAAGGAAAGCAAAACCATACCATGGCACGTGTACATTTTACATTGTCTATGTATTTAATAAAAGTTCCTTTCTTGGTAAAATGTTTATGGGGGAAATTATATTGAAATTATATCCATTGTCCATGCAAATTAAGTCTGTTGACAGAAGTGGAGAACTTAAATGGCAGTTGTTTCAGGCAGTTGAAGTTTAAAGAAAACTTAGGATGGCCTTGCTACGTATGATATTCTTTAGTAACTGACAGACTCCGTTCAGTCTGATAGTACCAATCAACTATTTTAATATTTTTGTCTTTACA